ATTTCAAGAAAACACAAAGATTCTGCTATACAGTGGAATAAACATCCATTCTCTTCAGAAGCTCTCATTTAGCAATGCATGTGTAAAAATAGACAAATGCTACAATCGCCTTCTGTGTAAGAAGCATAGCTGCATCTTCTGAATATAATTTAGTACTTCTGAGATTTTAGTCCATTTAAAATGCCAAATCTAAAAATAATGCATAATTTGTAATTCCAGCAACACAGACACTAGAGATTGAAAAGATCCAACTTCTGCTCAGTCTTGCCAAGCAATTTTTCAGTACATTTTTGGATGCTACTCTGTTTGCATGGCTGAAAGTGACCTTTGTGAAACGTATGGTCCAACCCAGTTAAAGGAATGAGAGCTCTCCAGCCTGTCCTTGTTCACTCCACTGAAAGACAACGGATCAAGTTTTCAGAAACAGCTTTTAGAGTTAAGTGCCAAATTAAATATAAATTCACAAATAATTTTGGTCCAACCAAAACTGCCCTTTTGTTTCTAAATTTGCTTTTTGGGAAAAAAAAAAGAAAAAACAAAGAAAGAAAGGCTACCTCTATGCAGTATCTTTGAAAATCAGTTCTACTGCTGGGCATCTACAAGCAGAGGCCCCTTTGGGAAATCTGGGCTAAGATTTTCAGACAGTTTTTAAAGCCTTAGTCTTGGATTATCTGAAAGACAGCCTGAGTGGGCATGTCTACATGTTCATTAATGTGCTTTAGGTAACGCACATTAGGCACAGAAAAAGGCGCGTTAGCCTATTTTAATGTGCATTAGCTAAAAAGCACGTTTTTGTGACACTTTAGAGTACACAAGTAGATGTGTCCAGTTTGTCTATATTTTAATTCTACACATTTGACTCTGGCACTCCAGAGAGATCCAGCTGCAGAATCATGGCTTATATTGTCCAATTATCACCCAGTGTCAAACAGGTTAGGAGTTTTATATAGACTCTTTAAAAGCTTTAGAAAACTTTGCAAATCCAGTATGTCAGAGCAGATTCGATTAATTCAGTGTGCTGGAGCACAGAAATTGATGTGCTCTTGCAGCCTTCCATGTCACATGTATCAGCGTCCCTGTACATCGCTACAGTGAAAAAATGGCGGTGGAACACTTTGAAATAAAACATATTCGCTGAGCTTTAGTTCAAAGTGCCCTGCTGCCATTTTTTCAGTATGGGGACATGTGGGGACACTGATACACATGATGCATGTGTGCCTTTAATTAGCACAGCTCACTAATTAAAACACCTCGTGCCACATCCCAGAGAACGTGTAAAAATGCCCTTTATTTCTAGACCAGTGCTTTCCAACCTTTTCCTCAGCATGACCCCTTTTATGACTCCATTGCTTCAGCATGGCCTCTCACTCCCAACCTGCAGCCCCCCACTCCCTCCAGGTGCCCCTCACTCCTCACCCAGAGCCCCCTGGCCCTGCCAGTGCCCCTCACTCCTCACCCACGCCTGCCCCCCCCACCCTGCCCTGCCAGAGGGTGCCCCCAGATGCCAGGACTATGGCGTCAGACACCCCCAGACATCTGGCACATATATAGGTGCCCTAAGAGGGCATTTTTCAAAGGGTTCCTTGAGTCTAACAAGGGGTATCTTGAGTCTAATGAGGTTGCGAATCACTGAGATAAAAGGAACAGCCCCATCAAGAGATACAATCTTGCCATTTAGAAGTTTTATTATGCTTCCATAGCTATTTCTGTCAATATTATTAGGCTGCTCATTGCTTCCAAGGGTCCTCAATCCCTTATGGTAATTAAGGAAAAAAATGGAGCTCTAGATAAGAAACTGTCTTTTAAAACATTAATTGTATCATAAATGAAAATGTGACTGAGTTTAATTAAATTTAATAACTGTCTAGTATGCTTTGACTAATAGATGTTTATGGCGTAGTCTGGTTGTATTGTTGAGTTAAGAGCCTGCCATGGAGTTTCTATTAAAATTCACTACTGCTAAGGGATTTATAACCCTGCCATTGGGAAAAAATACTCCAAGAAGAACTGCATTTTTGGCTAATCCTTTCCATACATTGTTTTGAAAATCCCCTTACACTACTCGTATATCTAGAGATGCTGCTAGGCCAAATTCCAGATTGAAACCATTGATCTGGATCCAAAGTTTGGAACAAGTTGATATTTATGCTTACAAACAAGATAATCTTAAAATGTGTGCCCTTTTACACTCACAGTCTATGATGTCCACTAGATAGGTCATCTGTAAGAAAGAACCCTAGTTTGTGTCAACGTAGCCAAGCTACCTTTAAAAGCTGCCTGTCGCAACACAGAACTGAGAGCAGGTTGCAAAACTCAGTCAAGAAATGGGACACATTGGGTAAACACTCCAATGTTTTCTTTAGCCTGTGCTGACCAATGTGTGAGCATGACTACCCAGCTAGCCTAGCTGCAGGAGTTAGTTGGAAGCTAGCCTGCATGAAGAGCTATGTGATTCTCACAGAAACTGTGCAACTACAGGTACCACACTACAATAATAACCGATACACAACATGAAGGACAGGCCATTTTTTTTCTGCAAAAATCATGTCATCTTGGTATGAATATCTTCTCAGCTGTCAAGCCAAAAAATAAGACAGTCACTCAAGGTAACACAGTCACTTATTCCAGTTCACTTGTCTTTGCCTATCTGACCAGACATCAGTTATAAAACCAGAGTTGAAGAGTAGATTTAGCCTTTAACCATGCAAAAATGTACTCATATTCCTAAAAGAATTCCCACTTAAGTAAGAGACTTTTGTTGTACAAGTATGGACCAGTGAGATCAAGGGACACATTCTTGTCTACACTACAAGTTTTGTGTTGTAAACAGCCCAGAGAACTTGCCAACCCAAGAACTTTTTTACTGACAATCTGCAAACTTCTTATAGACAATGAAAAATGTTTACTGACATAATATTGCATAAATGTAGTGCAAATTATTGCTTGCTCTCTCATATACACACACAGTGAATCCATGAAGGGGTCTGGCTTTCCCTTCCCCAGAGGGCACGTACTGGAGGGGTCCCCAAGGAGGCTGGTGTGAAAGAAACCCAGCAGTCCTGCTGGCTGGCTCTGTGCCTTTCCAGCAGTTGTAGTGTACACAGCCCCTGCAGCCTGGACTTCCCTGGAGCCTCTGTGATGTGTGTGGACCAGGGGAAGAAGCCATATCTCTCTGGGGTGCAGGCAGCTCTTGCTTGTCACAAGGCAAGCTAGTGCCCAAGTCCAGCTCCAGACAGAGCTCTGATGGGGGTAGCTGAGGCTTGGGGTGCCCTGCAGGAGGCTCGTGTAATGGGGCTAGGTTTGAGGAAGGGCCAAGACACACTACTTTGAGGGCAACCCTGACCCTGCAGCACCCTGATCTCCCCACCACAGTTTGGATTCCAGGGTCTGTTCTCTATCCCTGGAGCATGACTGTCTCCTGGGCCATGCTGGTGGGCTTTTTGTGTCCAGTCCCCAGGGTACTTCACTCCTCCCTCCAGCCAAATCTGTGCTACTTGCACCAAACCCAGGGGACTCAGAGGGGACATGTGCTCCAAAGTCTGGACAAAAGGGAAGAGGGAACTTGAGTGCAGGATGGGGACACTCTATGCCAGGGGCAGGCAATTATTTTGGGCAGAGGGCTGCTTACTGAGTTTTGGCAAGCCATCAAGGGCCGCATGAAAGGCAGCCAGGGGCAGATAAATAGTAATTTTCTAAATTTTTTAGGGGCCCCGCGGGACGGATAGAATCGCCTGGTGGGCTGCATCCAGCCCCCAGGCCACATTTTGCCCACCCCTGCTCTATGCCATGCCCCATGTGTTCAGACATGTTCTCTGCAAGGCAGACTTTCCCTGGCCTGCCTCCTCCCACTAAGAGCAAGGAAGAAAGAAGCTTGACTCCATGCGTGCAATTTCCAAGCATTTCTGCTTTGTAAAGGCCCCGCTGGGCAGCAGCAGGGTTTCCATGTGTCCATAAATTTTATGGATATCAAAATATTTTTATAGGCTTTCTGGACCAGCGCTTTTAACCACTTCTTTTACAGATTAGCTGTAAATTTACAGAAGGTTGGCAACCTTGGTTCTATTCCAAATCCCTGCTGGCACTTAGAAGTTGCAAGCTTCACAGTGTTGTGTGTCTGATTCTACCATCATAAAGAGGTCGGCAGTGAAAATTCTTGTTTTGCCAATCCAAGATCAAGATTTGCAGAAACATGTCCATTCACATATTATCAATCTCTGTGTGGGCTGCAGGGAAGAGGTCTCTGGATATATAACAGAGAAGGGATCAAGAGCAAATACAGATACAAACTCCCTAGGCTGACAAGTGTTTACCTCTGGGGTTTTGGCTCAACCTTATTTCCAGGATAAACATATGGTTTTGTTTCCTGCTTTTCAATACAATTTTAAAAAATACTCTAAGACTCAGAATCTGAAAGGGTATGCAGAAAAGAGATCCTCATACATTACAGAGGGGCTGCTGGTCATTCCAGCCCACTGGAATAAGGAATTTATAAGTATTTAATTTGCATTAAAGCCAAATGTCATCTGCTTTTTCCACCTTCACTTTTATTCTTCCTTGTTCATAAAAACTTTTTTAGAAGTTTGAAAATAATTGCATTCTTCACTGAGTTTGTCCTTTTATTTAACCGGCTGCATGTATACCCTGCATGTTGGTTTCTGTCCTATGAGAAACAAGACTTTATTTGAGTTACTTCACTGTGATGAACTTTACTAATAGAGCAGGTTGTGTACTTAGCTATGGCAAGTTTTGCTTAATGGCAAGCAACAGGGAGACTTCACGAATTGTTCCATCAGCCTTTAAAACATCACAAAAATAAACAAACAAACAAACCAGCAACAAAAAATTAAGCATATTTCAGAAGCTGGGTGACATTTCCAACAAGTCTATTATAACAGTAAATTCAACCATAAATTGGGATTATATTATTTGCTAATGAATATCTATTTCCTTCTTAACCCATTGAGCCCACAGTTAAAGAACAGCCAAAGGGTGCTTGTTACCTGCTGACGTATGTTTGAATTTTTCACTCTTCTTCTTCCTCCATTTCCAGGGTTTGAAAATCCTTCCTAGAGTGGCAAATTTGCTTCTTCTCCTGATTGGAGGTGTGTGGGTTCCTGGTACTAGAGAGTCTGAACGCATTGCAGCCAGTCTTTCCACTTCCTCAGCTATTTTTCACCCAGAAAAAAAAGAGAGGAGGAAAAATTGAATGTTTTAATAATAACTTCTTGTAGAACCACACAGTCAAACAGAAGAAAAAATATGACAGAGGTTTCAGTTTTCTGTCTCTGTATATTAGCAAAATGATAAAGCTTAGCACATCACTCCTGAGTAGTTCTATGTGCATTGGGTAGTCCATCAAACAGCTGCTGTTGATGAAGAATCCTGAAAGAGATTTTACTGAGGGGGATTATAAAAGTACTAGGTATTTTGTAGTGGTGCTTTCATTCAGAGTTTGATGCTCATTGAGGAGGGGAAGAAAGTGATGGAAAAATACCGTAAGAGAAATATTGCAGTTCTTCACCAGTAAAGACAGATAATTTAGGTGACTATTTTGTGAGTAGTAAGAACTGAAAAACCCTTAGCTACTATTATTGTTTCAGTTAACCACAATCAATATATGAAAAGCATACGGATGTGACTACTTGTGTTGGTAGGGGACTGGTTTCTGTAATCACAGAGCTACCTCCAAGCCTATCTTCCTTCCCACTTACTCCCTTTTCCTGCCAAGACTTTCTTGCACCCCTGGAACACTGGAATTCAGCAGAGCTCCACAATATTTGAATTTTTCAGTATTAAGACTGTGACACCTATCCAACATCTAAGTATCAAAACAAAGTTGGTGACAATTGTAACCCTACTTGGAAATTCAAAGTTAGAGAAGTTTTAGAATAGACTTGTAGTCCCTGTTTTGGTAGCTACTATTCAGTCAATATCCAAAAAATAAGCATCTAAATCTCACCTGCTTCATACACATGCAAGTAGAATATTGCCCGCTGCTCATGCAATGTTGTTCTGTTGCTTATATAAAAAGATTAATAGGACTTGCAAAATCTGGGGATATTTTCATGCACTACTAGCTGTTGGTATGATGTCCTGTTAATTGGCAAAGCTTGCACTGGCATTTTTGATCAGTAATAACTTGGGACAAATTATCAGTATTTTGCTAAAATGAGAGATGGATCTGAACCACAAAGATCAGATGTAAACTTTGCCAAAGTATAAGTGGGGGTAGAATCAGGCTTGTTGTAAATAAAAGATACCATTGCAGGGTAAATTGTAATCAAGCAGACTATCTGCAAAAAAAGCCCCAAAACAACCTCCCCCCCGCCCCCCCCCCAAAAAAAACAACGTGGGGGGAGGGGATCACTGTTTTTCAACCTCCTTGCTATTTTTTCTGTGTGGGTGCTTCCTGCTACATCTCTCCAAGGTTATATGGTACCTCTGTGAAAAGACCAGAGCTAGGCCTTTCCTTTATGGTTGTAGGATCTGCTGCATATAATGCACCAGGTAAAATCCTAGGTTGCTATCTCCTAGTTGGTAAGTAGTGGTATAAAGACACAAGAAACAGCAGGTTTATTAAGTACCAAAGTACAGTCCAGGTTCCCCAGTCTAGCAGAGTTTGTTCAGCCTATGGTGGGTAGGAAAGAACCTGTCTTTGCATCTCCGTGATACCCCCATCATTCCAGAATCAGCCAGAGACCAATTCTGCCTCAACTGCAATTTAAGGGTGGCTCAACCTGCCTTCTCCCTCTCCATCCACTAGCTCCCACTCCTAGTCTTCTTGCCAAACAAGTGCAGGTCTTCCATCAATCCCCATGCCAAATCCACTCTGTCTCCCTGACACCTCCAGGTCATGGTCTCTGGGCTCCTTCCCTAGTTAATCCCAACGCTGCCTTCCCAGCAACTTGTCCCAGCTTTCTCCTATGTCTCCTTTCCTGCCTTCCACTCTTCTCCCTAGTCTAGCCCTTGTCTCTCTGCATATGTCAAGCTGTTTCCTTTTCCAACCTGGAAAACCTACATGCTTTTCCAGCATATCAAAATGGGTAGGTCACTAACAGCACAGGAGAGACAGTCCCTCCACTCTTTTCCTGTATCTGGTAGTACTGTACAATGCTCCCAAAAAGCTCTGGGCACCATCTGAAGGGAAAGTTCTGCTCATATGTGCAGCTCTGGGCTAGACCGTACTCAGTTCCTTGATAGGAACAGTACAAACATAAACCAGTCAGCATGTCCCTGCTGTGAGGGAATGAAGCACGATCAGAGTTGATAGAAGATTCAGAAATCCGCAATTCTAACAAGTCTAAACTGAGCACTTGCAAAAGGAGAATTTTCAGAGGTTTTTAACTTGCCAAATTGGATCTGTTTCTAATGGGAATAGCAAAAGGCATGTATCCCTGACACCAGAACAACTGCCCTGCCAATTTTTCAAACCTTGCTCCAAAACACACAGGTACTAGAGCTTCTCATTGAAATAATCATAAGAAGGTTTTTAATTGTAAGAAGGCAACATAACACATTTTCTTGTAAGATCACATTCTCAGAAACTGCTGACCTTGTTTTTGCTTACAGCTTTCCAAAGAAGAAACAATTTAGCTAGAGACAGACAGCCAGCATGGAAAGTTTCAACTCAAACAGTTAAAATTTGCCAAAAGTTATAAAAAACTGAAAACAGGATCTTATAAATGAAAAACATCAGACAACTTTAAGAATAGGTAATGCTACCATAACTATATTATATGGGCAGAGATTACCCACTTGTGCCAGCATAGATATTTTGAAGAAGTGGGTGGGCAGGTGGATGTTTTTCTATTCTAAACATGCAGAACAACTTTTCTTTTAGCTGCAAACACAGGCTTTTCTGTTTTTCTCCCTTGATTAATTGAAACAATCTTGAAAAACACACACCCAGAGGCATTTTAAACTACAGGAAAAATAACTCTCAGACTTGAACTAGCTTTCCAAGTCCCCAAAATAGTTTGAAAGGTTCACATGACTTTGAACTTGGTAATGTTCTCCCATTTCTAATCCATTTGTAACTCTGCTCTGCATTTCTAAAAGCTTTATTTGGGCTACCAAATCATGGATGTTTAATCAGTTTAGTTTACAACCAGTTGTTAATTTTTTTAAAATCTCAGCAAGCATAAAAATGGTCTATTTGTTTAACTCTGCTCCTCATTACACCACTGTGCGATTATAACAAAAGCTTAAGTGGGCAAAAATTGTACTTGGAAGTACGTTTCACTGCACTTTGCTGAAGAAGCAGAAAAACAGAAGAGCAAAGTAATCTACCTCAGTCCTTAGGAGAGGGAAAGACATTTATGAGAATGCTTGCTTTGGGGTAAATGGAGGGAAAGAAAGGTAACCAGGTCAAAGCTTTCATTCATAAGAAGGTACACAGGACTGGGTGCCGAGAGAAATACTCATACAGAGAGGCCACTGTGATGTATGGATTGCTGAATCAAGGCTAGATATTGTCTGCTTGTGCTAAACAAGTTGGTGAGAGTTAAAAATAGAAGAAACCAGAAGACTTTGTATCCCCTATGACTTTATTCAAGGATGACAAGCTCTGAAGAACATGATTTTTAGACCACATCACTCTCCATTCAGGAAACAGTGAAGCAAAAGACACTTCCCTTCCCCCCCAACTTGAAAAGTTAGGCTCATTTTTAGTCATTGCTCTCTTGACTGGATACTGTGTAGAGCAGGGATTGTCAACCTATGGCCCATGGGCTGAATCAGGCCCACGTATTTATTAGATCTGGCTCAGAGATGTGGGACTTTGAAAACATTCAGCTGCTTTAGCTGTGGGGACAAGTACCAACCACGGGCATTCTTCCCGTGCCCCCAAGAAAGGTGGTGGCCAGATCCTAGCACTTGCCTTCCTCTGGCTGGTGTGGGTTATTCTGGCCTGGAGCTGGAAAAGTTTGTCTACTCCTTGTGTAGCGTATAAAAGCAGTTCACTGAACCAACCTTATGGAAGTCAGGCCAAGTAGGAAAGCTCACAAAAAATACATATCTGTCTGATAAACAAAGTTGGAAACAAAAACACATCACTTCCATACGTCCTTCTGCCCTCCCATCTTCCTCAGTGAGCTGCTATTATTGCTAAAAAAGTACATGGTAGTCTCTCTTTCTAAGGCTGCTTTTGCTGTGGCTACTGCTAAATCTGGACCCAGCTGAAGCAATCTTCCTTATTAACCCCTCGCACCCTGATATACATCCCTTCTTACAGAGGGGATGTTTTTCCCGCTGCAAGAATACTTCTTCTTTCACTACCATACCATAAGGATCTGTATTACGAAGGCAGGTCTATCACTGAAGTCAAAGGGAATTTACCTAAAGTAAAAATGGGGTTCACCAAGGGCAAGAAATAGTGTCAAAAGCCTTTCCTTATTTTGACTGGCTTCCACTGAATTTCAGTATCTTGTCTCATGGGCCATTTGTAGACATGCTCACTGTTTTCTAAAGCATGTCAACCGATTCACATCATACAGTTCAAATCAAATTTCAGTTTGAATTAAGAGTTAGTAAACCTGTCATTGATAGTCATGGAGGTTTTCGTGCATTTGGGTACCTCTGTCCACCACTCACAGCCAGGGCCACAAAACTGCACTCACTTGCTACGCCTGGTGGTGGGCATGAGCAACAGGAAGCACTAGATACCTTCTATATATACCTGTTAATTAATACAGTTTAATTAGTTTGGCCTAGTTTGGGCCGCTTTAGTCTGCATTAATTTTAATCCTCATTCAATCAGGATTAGTGAATTTGAAGTAGACCTAATGTTAATTCAGACTACAGACATCCACGTGTATACAGTGATGGCTGTAGTCCAGATTAAACCTAGAAAAACATAACAGCTATAAACAGCCATGCAGGACTGTGTTCCTGGAGTCCCGCTATGTATTCTATCAGCTGGAAGGAGACAAAGGTGCTTTTTTCCTTCAACCTTTCCAAAGAAACATAGTTTGGAGATAATATAAATCAACCCGCTTTCTCTTTCTCTCTTTCTTTCCCCACCCCCTGCCCCCTCTCTTTAAAGGACTACCCTCCTATTTCATGAGAAACACTTCCAAATGAACTACTAAGTCAAACCATAAACATAAAAATCACAAGGTAGGAATGAATTGCAGTAGTGTGCTTAGTCCTAATAAAACAACAAGAA